ATAAAATCGAAAGCGCGCGGGCATATAGGTATATTGTCCGCGACGTCACGATAAATCCGTAGAATGTCGGAATCAGAGAGCGCGCAAAGTCAGAGGAAACGCGGCGTATCGAGAAATTCGCGAAGAATCGAACGGAACGTCGCGATAGAATGAAACGCGATTAAGCGTAAAATGGGGCGTGCAGAGAACAGATTCGTCTGAATGAAACAAATGACGTCTTCGAAATCCCGAATTGAATAGTTGCTTTAGATTGTTGACACTTTTATGCCGACTCTTTCGCGATCGACGATTCGCCCGCCAGCTGAAAACTGGCGTGGCAAATTGAAGCGAACGAGATTATTCAAAATGTGTTTCATTCCTGCGTGTTTTATATCATTTTGTTATCATCAATTGTTTAAAATTTTGTCGATTATTATAATTATCTTAAGAGTATAAAGCGAACGTCCAAAGATGAAAGCGCTAACTAACTTGAAGTGACTTGTTCATTGCGATAACAACGGACGACAATCGTTTCTTTAATCGACGTTCGTATTCGGATACACCTTGTGTCGTCGCTTCGAGTAAAACTTGTTGGCTGCTTCTAAGTCGGAAGCGCGAAATAATACAGAAAATATTGAATCGAGTGCGATTTCTTACAGAGGTGAGAGAGCACCCGTCCTACAATTCTTGCGTCGCCATTACTGGTTTTACATTATTTTGAGTACTTGGTAAGCTTTCAAGACTTCTGTTGGTTATATGCAGTGTTTGCTGTTATCTAAATAAAATTATATAGATGATTATCTAGATGAAATTTTAGCGTTATCTTATCTTTATATAGATAATAAAAATATGTATTATCTATATCTGCATCTTAGATGAAAGAAAGTGTTATTTTTACTAAATTATCTAAGATAACGTACAGATAATTTGGTTTAGGGCCACATAAGGTTAGCCACAAAAATACTTAACAGTTACACTATTTAAATATGGATGGCGTTGTAGACCATGCATTTATGTGTGTGTCATATAACTTAACCTGAATATATTCAGGTTATGAACTATAGAATATAGAATATATTCTATATCCCCCTTTATAATTTAAATTTTTCTATAATATTTTTATAACTTTTTCTACTGTGTTTACATGAAGTCTTAAAAATATTATCTGCAAATTATCTAGATAAATCATCATATGATTTTATCTTTTATCTAGATATATTAAAAACGAAATCATCTTTATCTTATCTAAGATAAATTTCTATATTTTTATCTTATCTTTATCTAGCTAATTTTAAAATCATCTATGCACAACACTGGTTATATGGCACCCTCCGATCCGAGACTGTTTTCATCCTTGACGGCTCTGGCCTGTATTCTAGCCCAAAGGATAGATTGAAGTATCAGAAGTATCTTTCCGCTTTCTTTTCTCGTCATTTTAAAACTTCCGTTACTCGATCGTAGTCTTCTATATTTCGAGGGATAATCTCTTATGCTACGTACGGAATGCACGATCCTATTTATATGCACGGACATGTTTTTCGGGATACAACACGGTGCATATTTTGTAAACGCGGCATCCTCGAGGGTCGCGACGAGTCCGACGAGACCCCTCGTAGATCTGCGGCGACCGCGAAACGAGCTTCAATATTTCTCGACGATCTTAAGCGCTGCATCCACAAATCCCTCTTCGACGGACAGTTTTCATCTCGCGCGCATGTTCGTTCTCGTTCCGCCACCGCGACGACACCGTAGCTGCGAATCCCTACGAGACCGAGGGCGAAACAAAATTGAACGATCAAAGACACCCAAGGCTCGGACTTATCGGTGGGTAAACAACACGCGCGACGGAAGTGTGTACGTCAAAGTATGTACAGGCGAAGAAAATATCGGCGTCCTCGAGGCCGCTGCGCGAAGGCGTAATAGAGTTTTCTTCTCGAATCCTACAATCCGACTTTCTCTCTCTATTGCTCTTCGAGTAGGTTGTTGTCGTTTAAAGGCTAGTCTACAATACGCGGAGTAAGCCGGGAGTAAGGGGTAAGGGAGAACCAGAACTTTGAGCTTTTGGTGTAAGGAAGCTAAAATACAAGCATAATTTTTGAAATATTCGTAACACTGGCGTTCCGATTCACCGAGAGTAAGCGTAAGAGCTGAAGTAGGAACAAGAAAGAAAATTGATTTATTTCCCTACTCCCTCCAGGATTACGCGTTGTAGACGACGCATAAAAGAACGTGATCACAATTCGCGAGTTACTCTGGCGGTACGATATTGTCATTGAGCTATTATCGAGCAGCCAGGTCTATACTCGTATATGTGCCCAGGTCTATTTCCCCATCGGCGCAGATCGGTTCGAGTGCTCCCATCAGTCCGGATATTTGTGGCTTCGCGAAGCCCATTTTGATGGCTAAAAAGGATTCGACACGGCGACGCACTCTAGGTCGGTGTAAATATCCTGTTTTCGCCCTAAACGCCCGAGATGTCTGTAACTCAATCGCGCCCCGTCGAACGAAAGCGTCGTATCGCTCGCGGTGGAATGGAAATCGTAGTCACTTTAGAAATTGGAAACGGTTCGGGAGCATAACGGGGGAAGCTCGAGGAACTCGGCGTGGCAATTAAATACATTTATTCGCTCGCGACGTATTCGTGTATGTTTACTTTCCGCGCAATTAGCGACGGACGTTCCGCTCCCGGTTTTAATAAATTACACTTCGGTAAATCGTTACGTATTCTTTGACGAGATTCCTACATACAGACCGATTGAAACTTATCCTCCTGCTCATGAATCAAGTTTAAGCGTCGTGTTACTTCAATACTTTATTCATTTTGGTGCTTTCGCCGACGGACATGTCAGAGAGACGTGTGCGAGTTTTGGAAGTTTATCCGCCGGATAACTTTTTATTATTTATACGGGTGTCTGCAACAAAACTGCCTCGGAAACAATCGAGCATCGTTATGCAAGTTATTTATAAAGGCGCACGTTTGTATGAGAGCAGGAGCGCCTCGCTATTTTTGGGCGGGACCATAAAAGTTGTACGAGAGTTTTCTGAAGAGCCATTTGTACGAGCGAAAGTGTGTCCCGTATTATTCTTGCGCCAAGTGGTTCGAGTGAATGCCTTCATGGAGAAAATGTTCTTCAAACTGTTCCAAATGCGTTACCTTTATGTCGCGCATTGAGAGCACTCCAAGATTGATTACCATTTAATAATGTTGAAAAGTGCAACGATTAATCTTCATTTTCGTTTTTCCTTTTAGAAAGATTTTAATATTAAGGGAAAACAATACTACCGACATGATTTCGCTAATAGACATGTAACATATACTTTGATCGATCGCGCGGGACTAGAAAATTTCCGCGAAGAACGGTTATACTGTATGTTAAACATTGCGCAATTCACGGTATTCGCCGGTAATTAACGTAATTATATTTAATTGATCTTCCAAATGGTTATTACTTCTCTCTAACTTTAAATTAGGCAGTGACACGCTTAGCTGCTCGTTGTAAAATTAACGCCAGCCGCGCGTTTCTTCCCTCTTCCCAGCGTCGTCTAAAGTTACACGTTGCTTTGAGAACTACTTCGCTTAAAGCCGTCGCATGCAAAATGACGAAAACTGCTTCTCCCCGTAGTCCAATCACTCAATTATACTTTGCACATTTTGTCGCCAATGAGAGAGAGAGAGGGCGAGAGACAGGCGAAAGGAATACCTTCGAAGAGACACGTCGCGGCGGTAAGTTATCACGATGAGTGAAGGGAAAAGGGGGAGCACAACAAGTAAATCGTGATAACGAACGACGGGAATCCCTCGAGGTACAGCAGGGCGGATTGATTCCACGCATAAATCGATCGCCCGGCGACCCGCTTCGCGAAGGTTTCCCCGGGATTTATCCCCCAGGAAGTCGGCACGTACGGTGCGTTTACACGCCGCCGCACCGCAAGTTCGTTAATACCAGACCAGGCCGTCCTCCGCCGATGTGTCACCCTCCGCTTCGCCTGCTTCGCCCTCGTCTGAAACGCGCCTCGCGCATACCGGTGCATTTGATTGCGGCCACAAATTTGTTTTATTGTTGGTCGTTTGCGCGCGCCCGCAATAACACGAATCGCATTACTCGCGCTCGCAATCCCGAGGCGTTCAGCTTGATCCTCGAGCGAGTAATTGGAAGATAATTGCGGGGAGAGAGTTGGATGGAACGAGGGATACTTGACGTGAGATTGCCCGCAGTGATAGAGGAGGAGAATAATTTATACGAGTTCACTGTTCCGTCTAAGAAGTTTTGGTCATTGAATGATACAACGCTAGGGGAGAAAAGTGTTTTCCCTTTTCTTCTTGGAGCGACTACTGAAAAGTATTGCGTCAAAAGTGAACTCTGTCCGCTGCTGATTAGGCGAGTGTCGCGAAAGCGACATTCGTGGCTTTTGAAGAAATAGGAGAAAGCGTGAGAACAAGTGTCCATAGGCAAATGGCGCCATTTCTTTTGCCTTCGATTTTGGTCACAAAGTAGATACCAAACGAAAGGTCTCATTTGGGTCTCCAAAGGGTTCCATTCCATATGCCAAAAAAATGATTGGTGTCTGCCCAGACGGCTTTATCGCTTACGTCCTGGGAATTTTTCGAGCCCGATATCTCTGGAACGTTAAATAGGTACACCCTGAGACTGGCATATCTGTAATCAGCTTGACGAGACCTCTCGTACCTACTTTGTGACCAAAATCGAATGCGAAAAAAATGGGGCCGATCTTGTTCTCGTTCTTTTAGACGAAATCGGCTTAAAATCACGGAAACTTTCTTCACCGAAAGGGGGCCTCTCATTTGGTAAAGAAATACGACGTAAAGATATATTTAATAAACGACGCGTAGTAAAGGCTCCAATGTAAAAGGAACAGTTTATATTGAAATTATTGTCATTGTATTATTATTCGGTATAATGTGGTTAAAAATGGTACACGTAGCCAGACACGTTTGGTCGCAGCGGATCCATTTTCAGGATGTCTCTTTTTCTAATCCACGTTATCCTTTATCGTTGCAGGTGCGTTCGAGGTCGCTGACGCAGCTGGACTCCCTGAGCGGCAGCATGTTGGACACGGGGGAGCATCATCTGGAGGGCGACCCCGCGCAGCAGCAGCCCCATCAGCTGCATCACCATCAGCCGCCCCATCAGCTGCAACACCACCCTCTCGGCATCGAGTGCAACCGGATTCGATTTCTCGCACCGAGCGCCACACCCGCCGAGATCGCCAACTCCAATCGCAGGCACAAGCTCTCGCGATCTCAGGTGAGCTCTTGTCGACGAACGTACGACCGGCGTCTCCTCGGTGCGTCACGTTGGAAATGATTCGCGACGCGATCTCGCCGCGCTTATTTTCCTACGGAATACCCCGAGAGCTCTTCCCGAACTCCCACGTTTCCTCCCTTCAATTTCAACTTGCGCGAGTATCGCCGGGTTTTATAGTTTGTAACGAAACGTCCCTTACTGTAATAGCCTAGAGCCCCCTACGTTTTTGTACCTCTGACGTACTGTTATTAGCGTATCACTTTTAATTAAAGGGAAGAAACTTCTGTTCCGTCTTCGTTGAAGTCTCAAGGGCGACTTTTTTCTCCGCCGAAAGCTAAATGCATACCACGGTTTTACGAAATAGCCGAAGTTTCGTTATTAAATAACTTAGCAATTAACTCTGAGTGCGTTGAAGTAAAGTTGTCCGAAGTTATTTCAAATTGTCTGGAGATCCTGTTGTCGTTTTACTTTCGCCAAAGTTCTCAGCCGCTCATTCGTTCGTTTCTTTCAATCGCTCGTATCTAACAAATCGTTCACATTTTTATATCTGCTTTACGGAAGAAAAAAGAAATTGTTTTGAGCTTCGAGGTGTGAAACGTTGCGTAATTTCAGACGTGTATGCGCGAGGACCGCATCACCTCGTGTACAACGTGAAATATTCATGCCACATTTGCTCAAGAGCGAAAGGAGGGGAGGAAAACGCGTATTATATTTCGGCGTGGAAATAAAGAGCTCGTACGCGAGCAGGTCGATATAACGAGAGAATTTTCTCTTTATTCGCGGATTCCGCTTTATCCCCGCGCGACGAGCGAATAAAACGGATAAAGCAAAACGCGACCGGAGCTCTCGTCGTCATTGCATCGCGAATGTTCGAAGGAAATGTAAATGTTGCCGCCGTTCTTCGCGCCGTTCGCGGGGCCAGCCGGGGATATATCTTCCGTTGCTCGAGCACGAATTTCGAACCGATAACCGAATGGAAAATCGCGCGATGGGCGGCCGCGAAAATTATGCAAACGATATAGCGCGATACTTCCGCTCCGGCCGTTCTCATCCTTTCGCCACTTGCAACACCGCTAAATTTCGGACGCGATAATCGTAACGCGATATCCGCACGTAAGCGAAACAGTGGTATCCATCTGCACGTATCAAAATGCGCGGATTGTCTGCCACTCGATATGCGGCTCGCGTTGCAGCAACATTTCGATGTACTTGTATCAGTTCTGCACCCGGGAAGAGCCCGATTCTTCGCACTATTGAGAGACACCCCCTGACGGTCCGGGCGAGACGCCCGGGCGCTTACGTTAAAGCGTCTCGGACATCGTCCAAGCCCCGCGTATCCCAAATGGAGATCCCATGTTAACCGCTGAATTCGCAATGAAACCGGACCGGGCGTGCGATGAGACAGTAATATGCAATTAACGACCTTTCAATGGGCCATCAATATTTATGCGTTTAAATGCGCATCCCGATAATGTAGAAAAACGCAAGAGCATTTCCCTTCCCCCCCCCCCCCGGCCGGGGGACATAAAATATGCACGATTATTTAGCGGCCCGTCGAGTGACGGCGAAACTAATTTCCTTCTTCAGGTCGACGATAAAAGAACGGCGCAGAAAAGCGTTTGCTGTAATTCACCGTAATTTAGGGTGTTACAGAGGCCGTATCTGTGTCGCGGATCAGAGTTTTATCGCCTTAATCAACATTATTTTGTTTCTCTCGGGAGAGAAACTGTTACGGTAATTAGCATATTTTTTAACGTATTATCGCCAGGCCAATCTCGGTAAATTAACAGGCAGATGATGCAAATGAGAGCGTTAGCGTCTTTATCGGCGATCCTTTAAATACGTTTCGTTACACGGTCTTATTTATGCGGAATAAAATACGCTGGTATCATAGAAAATTTAATACGCAAGAAGTTTCGGAAAAGCATGATATCTTCAACGGTTTAAACGATAAAATTAAGTGGTAAAAGTAAAGAACGTCCTGCAAATGTAATATCAAAATTTCACAAAATAAGACGGAAGAAAATAGATATTTTTTTTACATATTTTTCATTACTGTTGCACGGATGCAAATCCGCTGAGGAGAAAGAATTCTTGGTCGCTGTTTGCATTTTATATGCTAAATAGGAAATCTTGTAAACATTCCGCTCCGAATGGAGTTACATTTAACTTCGCAATTAGATTCCTGGATTAATAAGTACATTAAGTCACGCGGTTGCAATAGGAATTACGGAATACCATTCGTTAACAAGGGGAGATAATCAAACTAACTTTAATTGCACTAGGGAATTGTTTCGCTGGCATTGCTGGCAGTTTCTGACATTTCATTATTTCAGCCGGCCTGTTGTCATTTTCTTGCGGCGTACGCGCCAGTGCTGCGTGTAAGCGTCGCCGGATACATCCATAAAATTAATATGTCAATTCGCTGTAATCCCCGTGACAATCACGCGAACGCAACGAAATTACATTGAAAATAGAACAAAGCCTCGTCCGCCCCGTTGTCGTGTAATCGTTCGCATCGCCGTAAAAAATTTAGCCTGCCATTTCGCTTCACTCGCCTCTCCCTCTCTCTCTCTCTTATCTCTCTTCCACTCTGTGAAAGATGCCGCTCTTGAGCGATACAAAAAAACGTCTTATCTCGTTCTACCAACCGGGCGTTAATTAATTTGCGCAATATTTTAAACTCCCACTCTAAGCACTTTTATCGATTCTTTTTAATTTCGCAGCGAGTTATCTCTTACTTCGCTTCGTCATCCTTTTTCTTCCAATTATAGTATTAAATCTCGGATATTAAAACATGGAAAAATAAGAAAAAGAAGTGTTATTGTTTATACTCTAGCATGAACGAGGAAAACATAGTTCGTTATTAAATTTTATTGTGCAAAGCTGTCCGAATTATCCAGCAAACTATGGCGTCTTCTATTATTGTTAATTGTTAAATTTAATTATATTTTATTTTTATTTGACCGTGTCTATTTAAACAGCGAGCTTATTGTCAACCCGACTGGCAAATTGTATTGAATTCGTTACAACGTTTCGATCTCACTTCAAGTGGGATTCAAGTCTTGTTCAAGTAACAATACAAATAAGAAAACAAGGAAAAATTCATCGACTAGTGAGGCATCGTCGTCAAAGATAAAAATCAAAGATAAAACTAAGCGATAGATTTGTCTATGTATTTATAATATTAATAAATTATAGTAAGAAATATTTTTCAGAAAAGCGAACGGCTCTTAATTACCTCGTTGCCTCATTCTTCGTTTTATCCCCGCATATCAATCTCGCCATAATTCGCCCGGTAATTCGAGCAGCTTTGTGCCGGACTTAACACACTCGGACGTGTACACGTGTCACTATTTCGTTTACGTCGCGCCCGTGGCACGTGAATAATTGGAACTTAGTCGCACTCAGCGCAAGCCGCGTGTGCGCTAAACGATCAATCGCCGTCAAGCACCCGGGTATTCAACGGGGGGTCCGTTGCGGGGGAGCGGGCTTCTTTGTGTGATCCCCTCGGCGCGGCGAGCGAGTAGCCGGAATACGAAATCTAGAGGCGTCCGGAGGAACTGCTGCGGAGCGGCGAGAAAACAGGACGAAACACGGGATCGCTATTAGCCGGGTCCAGTTTCGTAAAACTACCGGCGCTGTGTGTAACGATGGTCAGACACAATACGCGTCGTTGTGTGAGATACTTGACGAAACCGTATAACATCGCAGTTTTGCGATCGTAATAAAATAACATACGTTAATTTGATTAGCGTACATTACGAACGGAGTCGGAGTTGTTTGTCAAAATACGCGCTAAATGCATGCAGCACAATTCAAAAGCCGCGCGAGCCGCTAGTCCATTCCTAAGTAATCATTTAATATTACCGGTCTTGTAATCTACTATATAATGCAGTTCTGAAAGGGAGCTCATGGTGGATGCTCGTCATAGGTACGGACCCCGCTTAATTATATAAATACCTGAGGCCCGACTGTGTGTTATTAACGAGACTTAACGTCGCCGGCGAGAGCTACGTGGCGAGAACATAGCCGGCGCGATCAAAAATGCATAAAGGACACGAGGGAATTAAAGCCCGGTGTAAATCAAGCATAATAATGATTTGCTAACGCCAGTGTATATTGAACTATCGATTTATGTGGTCATTAATAAGGATCGAATATTTATCCGGACGTTAATAATCAAACGCCGAACATAATCGATAACCATCTCCGCTATATTTTTAAATTTAGATAATGAAATCACAGTTTGAAGAGTATGTGTAAATAATTACGTAATTTCCCCCTCTCCCCCCCCCCCCTCTCTCTCTCTCTCTCTCTCTCTCTCTGTCGTGCGATTTTAGATAATAGAATGGATTTACGTGCCGCTCAGATTTAATGAGAATACGTTGGAAATTACGACGATAACGCGCTTGCATGTTTATATCGTCGTAGATAAATTTTCATAATTATTTCTTTATCTCTACTGCCAATATGTACACACTACACGGCATGACAAAATGTAAAAAAATGTATATTGTATACGTTACACTTTTTACACTTTTTACTTTACAGTACGTGTACCCATGTGTCTTACTTAATAGAAATTTTTAGATTTATGTGTACGTATGTAGAAACAGTTTGTGAAAAGAGAGAGAGAGGGAGAGGGAGAGAGAGGGAGAGAGAGAGAGAGGGAGGGAGAGAGAGGGAGAGAGAGATTTGTACTTATTCGCCATTACTGTCAACGTGGTTGCAATAATTCAGTAATTACAATGTAAATAATTCACAAAGTGAAGCACGTGCCTTAAATTATAGTATAGTACAAAATGGTACAGCAGGTCGTTTATTCGTACGAAAGTGTCAGAGCTGAACGAGCACTCCGCGTTGCAAAATAGCCCGGATTTACCGCGCTCTCGCCGTCAAGGTCGCATCTTAATGGGCATAAAGATCTCGGCGAATCGCAAGAGAGTGCGAAATTACTGCAATTTTCTGCCACAAGTGGTCGGCGGAGGCCCCTGGAACGTAATGGCTCACAGGAGGGCGTTTTTTTTTTTTTTCAAAGCTCTCCGTGGGGAATAAAGTCGATGGTTCTCACGCCCGTATCATCGTCGCTTTCGAGAAATAAGATCGAATTAATAGATTAGACTGCAGTTACAACGAAGCGGGCTTTTAACGTCACGAACGGGCGGTTATTTGCAAAGTACGGCCCGAGCTTTATCGGTATCGTCCGCGTGGTCCAATGTCCCCGTAAAGCTTTCGGCAGACTTAGAAGGTACCTACATAAAAGTTACTTTTGCGTCATTCTTTACACGTTCCCGTTTTTAATGTAGAATATCGGTTTGATAAAAAAGATTTATTCAAAATCATAATTTTACAACGTGATTTTCAAACTCAGTTGTTCGTCAGCGTATGTAAAATTATTTCTTACATAAATCATTCTACCACGTGACCTCTTTGTGGAGAAAAATTGTGTAGATTTGTTCTTCAAGCTTGATACAGAAGGCGTTTAATTTTGCTTGATACTCCAATTTTACTTGTACTGCAGTAAGTTCCATTTCAGGACGAATACCAGGCCGCAAACTCGCGGTGTACAGATCGATAGAAACGAAAGGGTAAACACTATATGAATGAGGTTTACATCTATACGTAATCTACTGAAATATAAGTGGCCGCGTAGGCGTTGATTTGGACTACTTGCAGCTACGCCTACACGTGCCGCCTATGACGTAAAAACCCGAACGGCGATACTGGTGCAGGTTTGCGGGATAGAACGAGCGTGTGTGTGTGTGTGTGTACGTAATCAACCGGCTATCAAATATGAATCGCAAGGAAAATGTGAACAGAAAATTTAGCCGTCGCGATTCAAATGAATGGATAGATGAAGCTCGTATCGACGAAATATTTTAACAGCTCATTGTCCCTTTTTACACAGCGATATAATCTCATTGCGAAATCTCGCGCGATTTAACAAAGGCGCCGTATACGCCCGGTCGAAAGTCGAAACACATTACTAGTTTTATTCAAGTCACGTAATAATATACGACGAAAATTGAGTTTGTCAAACTATGGCTCTCTCGAATAATTTAGCTGTCCCTCTTTTAATGTCCTTTATTCTCGGTGAGAACGATATGATAGTCTTCTCACGTATGGATTATTAGATAAAAGAAAAATTCGTTGGATGAAAGTTTCTGGAAAACAAATTCGAGCCATTTACGAGTGCGGTGTTAAGACGAGCACAATTAGAATAGCTATACATCGCAGAAAGTGTAGAAAGAAATGTTTCCTAGCGGAATTAAGAAAAATATTAAATAACAGTAGAAAACGTATGATTGAGAAAACAGCGATTGCTTGAAAAAAAAATTTACTTCCAATCACGTGTAGCAAACGCGAGTATTTTCATGATTTTTTTTTATTATGTCGTATTATTTGCGTGGCATGTTTTCGAAGAAAATACGGAATAAATTTTTGTACATTTGATGTAAAAAAATCAGGCTGTAATGAGAAAGCCGTGAAAAGAAGACGTTATGAAGTGAATCATGAAGATGAACCATAAAGAATGATAAACGGTAAGGTTACAGTCTCGCCCCTTATAGAAAGCAACGGCGAAAGTTTCATTAAGCCATCCACACGCGCGTTAGTATCATTGTCACGAACTTGCCAAAGTATTTATCCTTCGGGAAGGTCGGTGAATTACACTGTCGCCGAAGGACAGTAACAGAGTCCCGTTTCTCCGGTTATCCCTTGCCGAAAGTCGAATTGATATTATGCAAGCGTGGATCAACAGTGTTACGATTGCCTCGGGGGCATCGAAAAGGGATCGAAAAATAATAAATTTTAATGTTGGCCCACAGATGACGCGTCGAGAGTATATTGGCGCAAATGCGGTAGACGAGATTATCTTCTCTCCGAATTTCGTGTTCACGAAACGCGTGTCTCGTCATATAAAAATAAAACCTACGGCCAAAGAGAACTTTATGATCCGCTAACAAATACGGAACAACTCCCCACGTGCCTATAGCAACGCCGATCGCGGGACGGCCGTATCTCGCCGCGCGTTTCAATTGGGCGGTAGGCCAGGCTAAGACAGCGATTTTTAATAATTAATAACTCGTTAGCCATTGCAAAAATTGCAAAATGTTAGAGGACTTTTTCATTTTGCAATTTTCGCAATAGTTAACGAGTTATTAATGATTCACAATCGCTGTCTTAGCCGGCCTACCGCCATATTCAAACGCGCGGCGAGATGCGGCCGTCCCGCGATCGGCATTGCTAGGCACGCGAGGAGTTTATCATACGTAGCCGTTGCCGTGTGTCATAAACAATTCCACGCGCGTCTAGCAACGCCGATCGCGGGACGGCCGCATCTCACCGCGCGTTTCAATTGGGCGGTAGGCCGGGCTAAGACGGCGATTTTTAATAATTAATAACCCGCTAACTATTGTGAAAATTGCAAAATGGTAGGAGGACTTTTCGACTCAGTCTAATCCGCTGTATCCGTAAATAAGAGGTGAGGCGGGTATTACATAACACCCTGTATACACATACTATATGTCTACTTCAATTGTAATGATATTTTGCTAAACAGCTATTGCGATTATTTTGGCAATTACCGTGGTATTTGCTTAAGTCTGTTAATCTGCGTTGATATTTGTACGATTCGCCAACTTTTCGGTGCGACATATAAACCGCGCGGCACCTAACGCGCATACTTTCTAAGCCTTTATAATGGAAAGGAAAGTTCGCTAATACAAACAAAGTTTTAGACAGGAACGGTATACGCGGCTGTAAGCTCTCGTATAAAGTCGCCCTCTCTCTCTCTCTCTCTTCCTCTTACCTGATTATACTCTCAAAATTACATAGCCGAGGAAACACTTACGTAGCTAACGTGCCTTATACCTCGTTATGCACCCTACGTTGCGAACGAAGTTCGCGCGCGAGATGTGTTATACGACAATTGCATTTATAGAGGCGACTTCGAGACCCTCGGGGTTTCCATTGCCTGAAACAAGAGCCGACAACGGCCGGCCCTTTGCAGTCCGGGTGTGATTTCTGTACGTGATCTTACATGCAACCGGCGCGTTCAAGGATCGAAAAGTATGTTCCCCTTCACGGAACAGTTGTCGCCTCGAGGTTACATGGAGGAGTTATTACAGAAAATCTCTCGAAAGGTCGAGCGGCGGTTTTCGTGATTCCCGCGAGCTCCATTCAACGGTATCTTGATTTGCCAAACACGATTGTTCCTTTTCGTTTCTCTCCCGACGAATGGCGTGCCGTTCGTGGCCGAGCGGCGAGGGTGAACTTATAATTCGCGGCGATGACAAGCAACAATCTTGGCCGCGACGACGATTACGCCGATTCCGCGCTTTAATATTTAATTCCGCGGCCCGACTCCGCCGGCCTATCCGGGCGACTCGAATTTACGAGAGCACCGCGTCCCTGCATTATTTATGAGGGGGAAAAAAAAATTTAGTCGAATGGGCGAACGTGGCGGCAATATTGAATCCGGGCGTCCAAACTGCCGAGTAATCGCGGTAACGCGATGGAGAAGCCGGCCGGGCCAATTTTCCAAGTTCCTGAGATGCGTAGTAAAGATCGTAGACGGAACGTGAACGAGAGCGTTTGCGCATCCACTCGGAGCTATCTGCGTAAAGGATCGCCAGAATGCGTGCAAGTGAAATATTTGCACGGGCGTTCGTATTCATGGAGCCTTCGTACGTTGTTAGAATGCTAGATAAATAAACGTCTACTTTGTTCGAAGCTCTCTCTCTCTCTCTGCTTGTCGTGAACTGAAATATGAACCACGACGGTTATAACCAACTCGTTGTATTCGAAATGCTGCGGTGCTCGATTTTTTTCCTCTCAAATTTAAATCCTCATCGCGAACTGCGCATTTAAACGAAATCTATGCGTTCAGCATCGGTTTAAACCGCAATACGTCGCAGCTTACCGGCTACGTCCGATCCTAAAGCGATTACGGTAAAACTCGAAAAGTCGGCTCTTTGTGCGGCGAAATCGGCCGCAGTTTTCTTTGGAGCGTAATCCGGAGAGAGAGAGACGCTAATCAGCGGAGTTAACCGTTGAGTTTCACCGAGTGAATCTATCAGCGTCAGAAGTTTATTACATTAAGCTGTCACTTCTAACGCAAAAGTATTTTATGTCACGGATATATCATATTCCTGCGTGGTGAACCAAATCATTGGCTTGAATTAATTAGATTAAAATCTTAATTTCTTGCAAGTTTAACTCTGTACACGGGGAGAATTTTCTCTCAAAGTTTATCCTGAAAACCACGTAATCGTGGGACAACACGGCGTCTTGACGAACGACGCTCTCGTCCACGTTCCGTCTACGATCTTTACTACGCATCTCTCAGGAACATGGAAAATTGGCCTGGCCGGTTTCTCCATCGCGTTACCATGAATTTTACTAGTAAAATGTATGGTAAAATTTCGAAACACACGTTGTCCCACGATCGCTTGATTTTCGGGACAAATTTTAAGAGAACATCCTCTCCGTGTACTCGATCTACCAGACTTTAGCACATCTTGTGCAAATCAAAATGACTTTTAAACGTAATGTAAAACAGATCGGGTAAAAGTTGTTACGAGAGCTCTCTATGGAGAAAGAGAACAGCTTAGCATTTATTTATACCACTTCCTTGTTCAGAATTGTGCTCCTCATTAAACCTCATCTACATTGGCGACGAGTGAAACTCGCTCCAGATCAAGGGTCTTATCTTATTGTTAAACCGAGGTTTTAATTACGACAATATTGAGATCAGCTTCAGCCAAGGAGATAAAATTAATTGTGCTTCTGATTACAGGTATCCAGTAACGAATACTTCAGCGTCAGCTTCGAGGTGGGCGACGACGCCGCGACTTGCTTCGACCGGGAGGAGTTTCTGCCGGCGACGCGGGGAACTTACCTGGTGTGAGTGAAACGTTATCGCACACTTCTAATACCTCGCGCGCGCCCTCGCCGCCGTCGGGGACGATAAATTTTCGCGCGTGTCGCGTTGCGAATGACAATGCGACGATATTTATAGGGCGCGCGGAACCAAACCGCGATACGCGCGTCTCGGGACCGATCATCCACGTGGAGAAGCCCGCTACCTGTGTTACGTCACTCGGCTTGCGAAACCCACCCCCGCCTCCGCCCGTCGCAGCTTGGACGCGAAAAATGCGCGCTGTCCGCTCGCGCTCGCGGCATCATTGTTCCGTTACCTCACGGCGGTCGATCCCCGGGCGGATCAGTTTCAGAATACTCGTCCCGACATCGACATCTTTCATCCCCCCCGTCGCGTCGCGTCGTCATCGCGAGATTAAAATTCGCCCCCGATGCGAAAAATCTCTCGGTCCGCCTACGCGATCAATAATCGCGTTCGCAATCATCACCCCCTACCGCTATTTCTCCATAAAATTTTCAGGGGAATGTGTTTTTAAATTTTACAAGATTCAACGACCTACACTGGCCAATGTTTTTTATTTAAAAACCGATTGCAACGTTTCGGCCCCGGGTTTGGGTCCTTTTCCAGTGATCTGAAATCGCAAATTGCAAATTTATACAGGGTGAGTTATAACATTTGTCCCAGAGCTCGTGAGAAGGTAGAACGGATCGAGATGAATAGAAAAGTCCTGAAACATTTTGCAATTTTCGCAATAGTTAACGAGTAATAAATTATCGAAAATCGTCGTCTTTGCCCTGCCCACTGTCCAATTCGAGCGCGTGGCGAGATGTGACCGCCCGGCGATCGATATTGCCTGGCGTGGGGGGAGGACGCGAGACGCGGGAGCGGCGACGTAAGCTCGCT